GTGTATGTGTGTGTGTGTGTGGGGGGGGTGTAGGCGTGTATGCGTGTATGTGTGTGTGTGTGTGTGTGTGTGGGGGGGGGGGGTGTTGTCTGTTCATCCCCAGAGCAGTTTGCTTTAATCTCCTCTAATTTCATTCTCAATCTTTATGGAAATCAACTCTCAGAACCAACTCCTCATTTCACCATCTCCCTTACTAATTAAGACCAGGAAATTGTTCCTGGAATTGGCTGGCATGAGAGAAGTGTGTCTCATCCCTCAATCACTTCCTCATTCTCTCTTTGCATCTGCAGTTGTTTTTCGCACATTTGTGGTTACGTGTCTGCTTTTCTGTCCCACTGCGAGTTTCTCACCATTTGTGGTTGTTCTGTCTCCACGTATGTGCTGTGCCTGCGTGTTTGTCTCAGTCTCCTGTGTGTTTTTCCCTCACTGTGACAGTATCTCGTTCTCTCTTTGTCTTTCAGTGTCTGTCCATGTACGTGTGTGTCTGTGTGTTGTGTGAGTAGCCATGTGGTGGATTTAGGGCTAAAGCTTTGGGTGATTACTCCCATAATAAACCATCATGCTCTGTTCAGGCTGTCATCCCCCACAGGGATTGACTGTATTATGAAGTTATCATTCAGTCTCAGCAATATTCTCTGTCCTCACATAACTCTCTTAACCAATATAGCTCTACCCAGAGAATCTCATAATGATTAGATTTATATTGCCTGAAATTAAACCTTATCATTTAGGTGGGAAGATGTTCTGGACAATTTTGAAAAAAGCTTTGTCAGTGTATCTCCAGAAAGCAAGGCAGTGATCATGTTGCCTAGCTTTCTGGAGATACACTGACAAAGCTTTTTCTAGCACCTTGTTCACACATACAGATTCAACTGTAGCAGGCTGGCTCTTACCTCTCATGAGTCTCCTGCTTGTTTTTAATTTGCCTACCTATTTGCTTACAATATTTACCTTGCAGTATAAGTAATTGATACTGTATAGTACAACAATAACACCGAAAGTGGCAAGAATGACTGACACTGTGGTCCCATATTTGCTCTCAAGTAAGTCCGGTCATGGTGAAGTTGGGTCAGGGTTAATGAGCACTATTAGTTGCTGCTTACATATGTCAGAGGACATTAAGCAAACATTTCCTGAAGCCCTTTGCACAACTGGGCGACATTTGACAATTGGGGTCTCGGTTTCTGGTGCTAGCATGCGTGTTGTTGCTCAGGATCAGTTTCCTTTACAAACAATTGAGAATGTGCACTCTGCATAAAAACATTTGTGTACAATATTTAATTATAATTTATTCTATATGGATAGTTGCAGTATTTAGTTAGAATTATTCTGGGTAACATTAGCATGCATGAATTTCTCAGTGCTTACCATCAAAATACTATAATACACTTAATACAGTATATACCAGATGCCACACTCATGCCTGCAGTGTATTTCGATTATAATAAGTTTGTCTGTACAGTATTTGAGAAGTTTATTATTCAGTTATTAAAAACACACACTTGAACTTGCATACTTAAATACTAACATTTTCTTTAATGAAATATTAGGCTACAATGTATGTGATGCATTGTTTCCATACAAAGCTCAATCGACTGTCAAGTCATGCACAGAATTGCACTATTCCTTTTACATCCATAAACACACAGTAATCATGTGAGCTGCCATATTTTAAAACAGACATCTCTTCCTCATTAGTTTCTGTTCAAAGCTACCCACCACTTTATTAAAATCCAAGGCTTTGACCAGATCACTACATGCAAATAGCTAATTATGAACTTAGAGCTAGCCTCGGTTTTCCCTTTTGGGTTATTAAAATTTTCTACACAATACAGTTTCCAATTTCTGCAGTTCAAGGCACAAAAAGCAACTCAAATCAAATGAAATTCGTCCATGGTTTCCCTTTCGCTTCTCCAGTATTTTAGTCTGTCCATGTGTATGGGGGAGAGAGCGACGCATGATTACAAATTCACCATTTTAAAACCAGCTGGTGTGAATTACTTTTTAAAGTCTGCATTCAAAGTTCTTATACTTTTAGAAGTAAGACACATATGATCTCTATCCTAGTCTTTGTGAGTAAGATTGGGATCTTGATAAAAGGAGATGTAATCAAAGTCAGATTGATGGCATGAATGTTTGATGGATTGCCGGTTGGTTTTGAGAGAGATAAGGCAGATAAATACAGATGATACAAGGTGGACTCACTAACACTAGCTTCTATTGAATGGTTTAATATAGAGAGTGCTGGACATGAAAAAAGACTTTGATAGGTAAAGACCAAGCAGGTGGTTTTGGTATTAAGAAAGAGTAAGGTGGTCCTGCTGTGTGCTGCCAACTTCTCCCTCCGTCCTCCTCTCTCTGCCTCTCATCTTTCAACTCTCCACCTGCTGTCCTGACTTCTACCTTCCTTACTCCCCCTCCCGTTTTACCTCTCCTTCTCTTTCACTCTGCCTCCTTCTATGTCTGTTAGCAACTGTAAGGTGACTGTCCTGATGAAATACCCAGAGAGTGACTCAGAGTTGACCAGTTCAGCATTAAAAAATGTTCTAGTGTAAAAAAGAATCTAGTGTGTGTGTGTGTGTGTGCGCGCGCACATGCGTGTTTGTCTGTGTGTGTCCACAAATGGTGTACCGCAGCTGACGGATAAGGTGATTAAGAGTACACCCGGGAACCAGGAGAGTAAAAGGACACAAGGATAACACACACGCGCGCACACACACACACACACACACACACACACACACACACACACACACACACACAATGCCCTCTAATGAAAGTTTTCTGTATGGTTTTAAAAAGTAAAGGACAGAGGAGAGAGGATTTGTCTTCGATAGATGCAGCCATCCTTTACAAAGTAACACAGTGACTCTCAAACTCTTCAAAGTAAAAAAGTTTTTCAGTGCCTCAGAGATTGTAAATACAGCTGTTAATGTTGCCACATGAACAAACCTCTGGATACCACTTTGAAATACGCACCTTTGATATATTTAGACATGTATACAGAGTAATTAATCATCCTTACTTGCTAGCATTTGTTAAGTTTGTGACATGTGACACTTCATCATCCAGTTACAAGTCTTGCTCTCCCATTTACGCAGGAACACAAAGACATACCTGCATGATCCATCCACATTTGTACACAAACAAATATTTGTAGTAATGTGAACCTGTGCAGACATAAGTATGTACACAGAATTTAACACCCCTAATGAGTATGTATTTGTGTAGCTTTGCCAGTTTGTTTCACTGAAAGTGTGTGTGGAGAGTTTTTAAGTCAGCTCCCAGTACTCTAATCTTGCAAATGCATGCCAAGGTTATGATACATAATTTGAGTGGATAAAAAGGGCTGTTTTGCAGGTCCTTTTATCCAGATCATATTGAGTCTGTGTACTCCTGATTCAAGAGAAACCAGACTGTAAGCCTTTGAGTTACACCTAGGAGCTTCGATGAAATAAGCATCATGTTTTCCCCTTTCCGCTTCATTCCCTGCATATGTTCTTATTTAGAAATCCATCAGCGCCATAAATAAAGTCACCTGCTAAGTCCCGCAACACTGCCACCCCTCTCGGGTTACAATTTGTTTTATGGCCTTTTCCTATGGCAGGCTAATTATTTTAACATGTGTTAAGCTCAGCTGCCGATATAGGGATACATGCACATAGTATACCGTGTGGTCGCTGACTAGGGCAGGAAAAGCAGTGAATTATGTTTTTTAACTCTGTTTAATAGATGGACTCAATCAAACTAGAGATGCACAGAGTTAAGAGTGAAAGCATTTTAGTGTCAGAGTTAGCACTGGACTCAATGTAAGCGGCTGAAGCGTGGTAACCCCTTTTGAACTCTCTCAATTAATAAAATAGTGTCATTTGTGTAGACCTATGTAGAAAGGTTTGACAATGAGAGGAAGCATAGTTGCAGAGAAAAATATATGAAGCATAAAGATCAGTTAAATGAATCTGTGCTTCTTTCCATCCATTCATCCATCCACCCACAAGGGTTTTTGTGTTTTCATTGATATCCTACAACGTCTTTTCTCTACCTTCCTTTCTTTTGTCTTTTTGTCTTTTGTTGTTCTTATTCAAACGTCTGGCTAATTGTCTTAAAGTCTGCTACTGTGAGCATTTTTTTCCTCAAAATCAGCAGAGCCCTCTCTGAAACGTTCTGTGAAAAAAATGACAGTGCATTCCATGCTTCTTTGTAATGCTGTCATTTATCACAGTATGTAGAACATTAGTGTGAATCATTTATTGTCTTTGGCATGCTGGAGATCCCTGAACTCTGGCAAGTCTATATGGAATGAAAGCAAGGTTTAAATATTGTGCACAGTGATTGAGGGGCAAGCATGCAACAAAGCAGCCTGTGTTTAGTGTGTGAAGAAGTTAAAGCACTTGAAATCATTATCAGCAGTGTGTCTGTGTGTAACTGTTGTAACTACATTGTTAAAATGCAAGCTGTGTGTGTGTGTCAGTGTGTGTTTTGAGCTTTAGTTGACAATAAGAACTTACAGCTAAGTGTTTTTCCTTGCTGTGTACATTTCTAAAGTGACAGGAGAGTGGGAGAAGTCAACACATGCATGGCTGACTTTCAGCCACCAACTCCATAATTACTATGACATTGTTGCCGTGGAAATGAGGTAATGAGCCCAGTTTACAATGACATGGCACTATCTCCTGATTGGTTCTGAATCACAAGATGCTTTTTCAAAATGGCCTCCCACACACATTCGCTTTCCATTGAGATGTTTTGTTTTTTGGATGAGTATTGGTGCTGTTGTGTGTAATATTTCCGGATTTGTCCTAGTGAGCGATTAACCGACTTACCAGTATGAACACATGTAGATGTGAGCTTTTTCACTACCATGTCATAACAGTATCACTTATAGTTTAGTTTACAATTATGTCATTCCTACAATGATTTTCTCATATGCTCTGGTTCACCTAATAGCCTGTTCTGTAGTATTCATTAAGCTTCTTGCCTCTCTTTGTCTCTCCCCTCAGACCTGAAGAAGTCATTCGAACAGGAACCCTTGGGAAAGGAAGTATCTCTGGAGCAGGAAGTGCTGTTACAGTGTCGCCCTCCTGAGGGCATACCAGCTGCTGAGGTATGTGCAGCGTTATTGTTAACCTCCACCTGACGTGTATAAAGAAAGATGAGAGATTAAGAGAGAGGACTTCTAGAACTGAAAGAGAGGGTGACTGAAGAGACGGGATGACAGAATGAAGACAACAGGAGGATGTAAAAAGATATAAAAATAGAAATCATCAAGTGGAAATAACTTGAAAGTGCAACAGAAAAGTCAGTTATTACAGATGTGACACTTTTTGAAATTGCCTGGAACTTTGAATGACAGACAGCAGAACAGAGTGGTTTGATGGGTGCATGCACTCTTTCACAGTCTGCAGTCAATGGTTGAAGGATGTGCAGAATAAAAATGTATCCTGACCCTTTTGACAAATTCTGTTAAATAGCTTCCTTTTTTTTATTATGCCTAAAGCAAAAGCAAAACCTGATACTGCTTAATATCTCCAAACTAAAATAACACCCATTCCAACAAGAAACATCCCAAAATTTCATTAAGTAACTATTAGGGGTCTGGATCACTTCCTTCTAAGATGATCCGATACATTTATAGATACATGGGCTACGATACAATTCCGGGACGATGCATTCAGTGAACTGATTCATAATTTTAAATCCTGTCCATCAACAGGTTCATGGTACATTTAGATCAATTCAAGGGTCCGCGTTCCACTGTAGTTGCAGCTATAACGTTAAAACTGATGTCCGTCTCGTATCGGTATATCTTTACACCCCTAGTAACTAACCTTAATACAAGGAGGGCCAATGTTTAACGTTAGCATAATATGATTACACACATCTTGTTTTTAAACATTTCTCCAGCCTGTTTTCATAAGTATAAAGCTCTGTTTCAGATTGCGCAACAGCGCTCGTGTTGAATTGTCACAGGGGGAAATCAGCCTGAATTCTGTTTTGAGTGACATTTGCTTGAAAGCTCTGCTCCAACGAGGTAACACTGATCCAAAGATCCAAAGTTTAAACTTAGACTTAAACGTCTCTGGAGAGCCAATTTGAGTTGCAGCAAAAGTTACATAAAGAAATCTCAGTGACTGCAGAGGCTTAGCCTATATCCCCGTTGTTTTACATTTTCATTGCTCACTCTCTTACTATACCTGAGCTTTGCAGAAAATAATGAGGACAGTAAATGGAAGTGGATTGTCTGGATCATTGAAACAACAGTGCCATGGTCACTTTCATTAGCAGAGATGTGTAAATATATATAGCTGAAAACTGAACTGAAGTGAATACACTTCACGGTAAAGAAGACATAGTGAATGACACAAAATTGGCTTCCACTTCATTTAGGGGGGAATCACATTTGCTCATATGAGCTACCTAGTAAATATTTTTTACACAGTAAAATCCCTACATCATTCTTTTAGCCTATAAGTGGTTACTTTACTGCCTTGCACAAGGACACTTTGATAAGCAAGGCCGACTTTATGAGGTCAGAGGTTCCCAGCCATGCTAGTTATTTGAACAGGTGTGGATTTCAAGTATAAACATGTGAATACAAGTGTGATAAAGACATCACACCATCACAACACTACCCTCATCCATGTAATATAATATTGTATGCCTCAAGTACATTGTCAGCACATCGACATTTTATTCACTCATCAGATGTGTCGCACAGTAAACATCCACTTCGGAAGAGCCACACATGTCACTTCCACTGCCTCAGGGCCTTAACTACTGAGAAAAAAGTCATTCACAATTCATATTGTTCTTTACTTTCCTAGTTTCATCTGGCTGCATTCCCTCTTGAATGGATAAAAAGACATAATTTCATTTAGTCGGTCACAGGGGAAGAGCAGCACAGCACTTGGAGAGCGCTGCGCTACCGGATAAGGAGTCTGTGAATCAGGTTTCACTCCTCAGAGTTTGATAGTCGTTTTCAATTGCACCTAAGTACACAGCTCCCCTGAGAGAGAGGGGGGGAGGGGGGGGGGGGGAACTGAAAGAGAGGGGGTGAGGGAGACACTCAGACAGACCAGCATACAAAGTGAGGGAGAGTGTGTGGGGAAGAAGTGGAGGTTGAGGTGGGCTGGAAAAAGAGGAATGAGTGGTGGAGAATAACAGTGATCCTCTCCTGTTCTTTCACTTCTAGAATCCTTAATTCTTCTGAGGGAAATCAAACAAATACATTGGTCGAATTGTGACATTAGTTTTACAGTGGAAGCCAGACTTTCAAACACACACAAAGGCTATTTTTCACAATTTTTTGTCTCTCTTTCTGTCACATTCACACATTCACACTCACACATTCACGCTCCTTCATCTTGAAGACAGATCTCTACACTAATGACTCATTACTACTTTTGCCTCATTCACTTCATTTATTTTTTCACACCTGTTTGAAGACAACACATTCATGCACACAGACGCTTGTGTTTGTGTACTTACAAACCACATGCACACACACACACACACACACACACTGACACACCGATGCTCCGCGCAATTCTTCCAGTGTGTTCAATCTGCTACCTTTCCTATTCCTTTCTCCTGTCATAATGGGATCTCAGAGCAAATGGATTGGTCTGTCTCTCCTGTCTGCTGAAGCTGATTAGAGGGATTTAGGTTTAAAACCTGCTGATGACCTCAGGTTGTAGCCCCGACTTTCTTTTTTTATCTCCTCTGACTTTCCATTTCTCTTTGTTCTTATCATGCCCATTGTCTTTGCCATTCACATTCTCCATTTCCTCTTTCTCTGTCCTCCACACACACACACACACACACACACACACACACACAACCATCTTTTTAAATTTATTTTCTTTTTTTCCCTTGATTGACAGCTGTCGTTGTTGTTGTCCTGTGACCTCTCTCAAAATGTTCTAATTTTAGTGGTTACGGTTGCCGCGTCGGCCAGTTGACGACTGTTGTAAAGTTGTCAATGTGATAGGGTTGGTGCACTGTTATTTGATACCCACGTCATAATGCCCAGCTGGCATCACGTGGCTGTCAACATGTCGCACCAAAGCCTTCACTCCATAAACACACACATACACACACTCACAAACACGATTTACATTCATATTCACATAGCATCTGTACACACACACACACACACACACACAGGACCATATACACACAAATGTTTGTCCATACATTTACGTAGATACACATGTAGATACAGCCTTAAGGAAATGCACACACAAACACACACACATATATATATACTAAAGATGATAAGAAGTACACTAAAGGAAATATTAGCCAGGGATCATTTTAACTGCTGCACAACTGTTAGCCTTGAGAGGTCAGGGTCAAACCAATCCGAGATTGCAAAAGAAAATGTCTCCACACCAACCATTGCAGCCTTATTTGCTTTTCACTTTCTTCTGACAGTACTGCTCTTGTCATCAGTCAGTCTCGTCTTCGTGTTTTTTTCTCTCTTTCAATCTGAAGCTCCTGAGAGACACAATTTGAAGCATTGTGAAATCCTTGGGAAACATCTAAATCTCTTTAGACTGTGATCGAAAGCCTTTAAAAGCTGATGGAAAGCTATTGGATTCAGCAGGGAGGGTTCAGCAGTTCAACAGGAAAGGCTTTATGGACACAGATGGTGAATTCAGAGAAGTTGCAACAAGTGCCGCACAATTTTAACTTTCGATGAAAAATGCTCTGTTTGATTTTATTTAATTCTGGCATGGTTTATTTTTTTGAAAACTTTTTATGAATTACTTTACTTGCCCAAGGTCATCAAAATTGAGATTCTTAAAAAATTCCACTGAAACCAAGCAAGGATGTGAAAGTTTAATCTGAGCCACAGTCAACTTGCATAGGTTTCCCTCCAAATGGTGTGAGGGTCATTTGGATATAGAGGCCACAGAATAAGGCAGCGGTCTAACAGCATTTGTATCTTGAAACGCAAAGAGTAGAAGTGACCCCACAGGCCAGGCAAAGCCACTAGACTGCGCATAGCAGGTGGGTTTATGGATTTATGTGAGTGTGTGTGTGTGTGTGTGTGTGTGTGTGTGTGTGTGTGTTTGTTGTGTGACTGTGGTTGTCTATGTGAATATTTGTGTATGTGCCTGTCTGCGTCTGTCTCTGTGTGTGAGTGATTACCCCAGCTGCAGTGAAATAAACACATCAGTGTGTGGTGACAGGCCCTCCACGTGTCTAGCCCTAACACACACACACACACACACACATGCACACACACACAGAGTAACTGGATATGTGTCTGGAGCCTGGTCAAGTTCCTGTCACATTCTTAAGTACTCAATCTGCACCCTAAATTAGTGCAAGTTATTCACATGGATAATGGCTTATGATCAACGTATACATTATCTCAGTGTAATCTTCTACACCAGCAATTATAAGCAACGTCTGAGACTTACAGTTTTTATTGACATTTTTTAATAAAAATATTTAGTTTTCTTACATCACAATACATTTAATGTGACATTTAATTGTTATGTGTAACAAGGTGGCATGGGGAGATTGTCCTTCAAAGATGGGATTTAGATTATCGTATCAGCAAGACACAAATCCTACTGCTAGCTCCAAGGTTGCTGTTACGTTGCAGATCACAGCCAGCAACTGAAAAGAGAAACTTTACCTTCAGGCAGAACACACACATCGTCCTAACCAAGAAGTAGCTGAGACATTTGTGGTGTACAAATGTGTGTTTGTGTGAATCTAGGAAGCACAACCACAGCCCTCTCTCTCACTCACTCACACACACACATTTGGCCTCTAACCTCTCTCGCAGTGACCATCGATGTCACTTTTTGTGAATGACTTTCTTTGTTCACCGGTGTGGAATAAGTCTAGACACATGCGTTTGTGTAATTACCCGTGTGTGTGTATGGGTGTGTCTCAGTTTGTCTCAGTGTGCGTCAATGACTCTTTGTGATGCAAATCTTAGCAGACTTTTCTGTCAGAAGGCATCAATGGTGTGGTGTGGCCAAAACGCTAACGGCTACCTCACTCTCGTACTCATACAGGATACTGTACACACACACACACACACACACACACACACACACACACACAGTACAGTACATTTCT